ATTCTGTATCTGTGGCTAAACCTAGGTGAACATTTGAACATTAAATCAAAATAAAATGAACACTCAGTTGTCCAAAGTCTACTTTAAAAGTTAGTTGTGTCTTCATTGTTACTGAAAAGGACTCCTTTCCAAGTGCTAGATGATCCCTTTAGGATTCCCACAGAAATTAGTCTAACTTGCCTCCTTTTTATTTATTTATTTTTTAATTAATTTTTTTTTTTTTTGTCTTTTTCGTTTTTATCGGTACCAGGGATTGAACTCACAACTGCCTGCTTGCAAGGCAGGTGCTTATGCCGCTGAGCTAAATCCCCAGCCCCTAACTTGCCTCCTTTTACAATTTCATCTTCCTTGAATTTCAAAAAATTAATTGTACTTTTCAATTATTTGAGTAAATTCAGTCAGGTAAAAAATACTATCACTTTCTTCTCATAGAGGTAATAGTTTTTGATGGCTTCATTTTTCTATTGTTTTTCCTCAGAGTAATATTCTTATTATATTTTAAATTGTTATTTCATTCCCATGAGTTTTTCCTGGGTAAATTGTTCTACTTTCACCTTTTTCCGGTATGTTTGCTGCACGGGTGCCTTTCCTTTAGTACTAAAACTATTTAATCTTTCCAGGGCTTACTTCACTAGAATTTCGTTCTTAGTGACTCCTTCTCAACTCAGTTCTTCAGATCCCACAAAGCTTTGGTAAATGTCATTTTGCTTTGTCATTTCCTTCTTTATCTGCAGCTGAAGTTTGTCTTTTCTGTCTTTCTGCCTGACCTATTCTTACTTCAGGGTTTTTTCTTTGGACAACCTATTGATCCTTCTCCTATCTCTGTTTACCTTAGCTTTATTTACATCATCAATTCCTATAGATTTTTCACTGGGTTCTTAGGGTGCTAATTCTGCTCTGCTTCCTGTTGTGATTATTTTGATTTACAGACTTCAGTATTTCACTGTCTGTAATATATTCCTTCTTTGATATTGCCAATACCCCAAATTAAATATGTTTAAAAAGTGAGATAACAGTAAAATATTTGGATTCCAAAATCATAATTCACAATTTTGATGGTTAGAGAAAGTAAAAATATGAGGCTTCAATTTTCTCATAAAATTTAGTCTTGAATCTGTTTCATATCCCTGCAAGTACTTCTATTTGCTTTTATTCCAGTATCATCCCTGTTGATTTCTCTACTTCCAATTCACTTCACGGGTCAGCACCATAGCCAGAGAAACCCTTTAACAGATAAAACCATGAGAGGTTTGGTGACAAACACCATGTGAGCCTTGCGCTCTGGAAGCTGATGCAGGCAGATTGTTTGTTTGAGCCACCCTGAGCAATGGTGCAACTTCGCAAGACACTAAAAACAAAACAAAACAAAGCAGAAAAACCACACACACACCACACACACACATACACACACACACTTATACATACATATGTGTATGTGTATATACATACGTGTGTGTGTGTGTGTGTGTGTATATATATATATATATATATATATATATATATATATATAAAGAATCAGTATATATCTCAGTAGGAAGATCCTGGGTTCAACCCATGTTACTGAAGAAAAACAATAATTCAGGTTATGTCACTCTTCTCAGACTCTTGTAAGGATCTGGTATCTCATTTTTGTTTAAAACTCAAAGTCTTTTTCTGTCTCCCTCAACACCACATACCTGCTGGTCTTCTCTTAAGTCTTTTTTCTGTTTATGCTTACATCTTTAGTGTTCCTTAATTTTGCTGAACACTTATCTGCCTCTACTCTGTAGTCCATGATTTAACATACGGCCTTCATTCAAATGAATGCACTCTCACCACGTACACCTGCATTCTCATTCTGGCACATTCTCTGTGGTGCGTTCTTTGACTGCGCTGACTAAAATTATATTTCAGCCCTTGTTCTCCAACCCTTATTGAATCTCCATTTCTCTTATATAAATGAATTATATTTCTTCATAAGGCTTAACTTCTGTTATACAATTAACTCTTTTATTTTGTTGTTCCAATATACTGTAACTTGCATGATGAGTGGAGACTGCATTTTTATGCATTATGTTTTCTCTCACAGTAGGAATTCAATAAGTTTTTGTAAATATAATGAACAAATTAAGATATGAAGAGAAGTGTTCTGATATAATGTCACTATAAAAAGGCTGTTGCCTTTAGTAATGTCCTATTCATTACTATCAATACCTCACTCGATGTTTTAACAGGATTACATGCCCATTTACACACACACACACACACACACGCGCACACACTCTTTTTATTTTGTTGTATTTATATTATTTCTTTTGTTTTCCAACATATTTCTGAATTATTTATTTGAAGATATGTGTTAGTCTTTCAACTATTTAGAGATAATCCTTAATTCCTGCTGTATCATTTGTATCAGTCTCCAACCTAGTCCTTTCTGCTGAAGCCCAGTTATCTTGAAGGCTTCTTTAGCGAACCCAACTCTTCTGACAGTAACTACATAGCATGTTTTACCATCAAATATTCTTTCTTACCACTTTAAGTCAAATGCTTCACACAGTAATTAATGTCCTATTGTTTCTGACCTGTTTTGAAAAACTCTGTTGCTTCTGCCTAAAAGATTCTTTATAATTTTCTCTAATCCTTTATATTTTCAGCAAGTATCAATCGTTTATTGTAACATACTATACAACAATATTTACAAAGGAGCCATCTCTTTTCCATTTCCCATACCCATTTTTTTTATCATTTTAGAGGAATAACAGAAGAGACAGAATGTCATCTCCTGAATTTCCTGTTTGCTGGTACAGATTTGTCTTGTATCTGTTGTCATAATGTAATTATTAATAAGCATTATTTCACTCTGAGAAATTATTTTATATTTATTAGTATTTTATTATTTGGCAGTAACTTGTAGATTCTCTCAGTTTATAAAATAAAGTGACTTGAATCCCATGTTTTTTTTCCTTATATCAAATCTAAATGCATGTGCTGTGTTAAGCAAAATATAAGCCCCCTCCACTAGCACTGGACTATACTTATAAATATGCTTCACTCTTTGGATAAAATCTAAGTCCTATCATAATCGGAAGCATATTTTAGTTTCAGTAGAATTTTTCTCTTCAATGTATTGTAATTTCATTGCCTTGGTAACTTTGGTTAATCTTCATTCTGCCTGAATTATCCCATTTTTATTTATTCCAGGCCTAGCCATCTTTAAAATTTTCTTACATCGCCAAATAATTTTGCGTGTGTGTGTGTGTGTGTGTGTGTGTGTGTGTGTGTGTGTGTGTGTGTGTTGTGTGTGTGGTGTTGAGGATGGAACCTAAGACCTTCTATCCTTATATGTGCTAGGCAAGTGGTCTACCCTGGCTCCTAACTAGCCTTTATTTATTTATGTATTTATCTCTCTCTCTCTCTCTTCTTGTATCCCCAGCATTCATTCTTTCTTCTCCCCCCACCCTGTGTTTATTAACACAAGTGGTCTTTAAGATCCTTGAATCAAAAATTGACTTCTACATCTCTGATTTTGTAGCATCATACCTAGAGTCAGATAAAGAAAAGGCTCCAGCACCTTAATAGGAAAAAAAAAAAGGACAATTATAATAGTAATACAGATGAGTGTGGTGTCAAAGTTAACTTTTGCAAAATATAAGGGAATAGGCTATGAGATTTCCAGAGACATTTGTAATTTAAGAAAGCAAAAATTTTCATTATACTCATACCTATAGATTTAAGATTCATGTTTTGTGAGTTTTTAATAGATCTCTACTGAAAATTATGCAATTGGTGTTAGAAAAACAGGCGAGGTTGAGAGAAAGTCGTAGCCTACTTTATTAACTCTAAAATAACTATTAGTATAAAATGTATGATTAGTTTGCATATTACTGCAGGAAAATGCCAATTAAATGATGCTTAATACTTTCATTTATCACTTAGAATTTTATTTGGAATTTACTGATGGTACTACTTAAACCTGTTTAAAAATGCTTTCTCTTAAATTATTCAAGTTGTGTATGTGTGTGTCTTTAGATACAGTAATATGGATTTCAAAATTATAAGTGAAGTCAAGTTGGTAAGACATTTCTAATATTACCTCACATCTTTCAATGTGAGGAAATAATCAATTATAAAAAAGATCAATTATATAAAACATTTTATCTAGTACATGTTCAAACATTTAAGAAAGAATTATTCTTAAAAATTGACTACTGTTATAAATATAGTGTGAAAAATTTATATCTAATGAGTTTACTAGAACTTCAATAACAGTTGCAAGTTCCAAATGTTTCTGAATCATGGAAGAAAAATTACAGGCATTCTAGACCAAACAAAGTCTAGAAATTAAAAAAAAAAAAAAAAAAAAAAAAACTTGATAGAGGTTTGTGACTCTTGCTGTCTGGAAGCAGAAGCTACCCACTTGTAAGTCATGAAAAGGAAAGTCGGTTTCATAGTACAGCATGTTCAGTTCACGTAGAGACATGTAGATGGATGGGTAAGACTGAGTACCCAGAGAGAAAGCTTAATTACTTTTTTTTCCCTTTGGTACCAGGGATCAAACTCCCAACCTTGTGCTTGCCAGGCAGACACTTACACCACTGAGCTATATCCCTGGCTCTTAGTTACAATACTGACTACTCACTTTTGTTTTTCTTGGAGCAGAAAACTATGTGAAAGAATGCCGGCTTTACTTTGAGTCAACAGGTTTTACAAAACTTACTGGCTGGAACATCTAAGGTTTATTTGACATAATAAAGCCTGCAGTTGAAAACACAAACAGAATTCTTAACTATTTCCAGAAGAGCTTGTGCAAACCTACTAAAACTCAAGTATTTAAAATTGTGTGCTTGATCTGAGTAGCTAAAATAAATAAAAATGATTGGTTTAGATTTGTTGTTGAGCCGAAAATATAGATCATATTCACGTACATTTTATATATTGTGTTCTCACATTTCATCTCTGTACTGCTCTTGTGTTTGTGTTCAGGTCATTCATATTTTATTTTGAAACATTTTCATTTTCAGATCAGCAGTTGTGTGATCCTGGTGAATTTCTTTGCCACGATCATGTGACTTGTGTCTCCCAGAGCTGGCTGTGCGATGGGGACCCTGACTGCCCTGATGATTCAGACGAATCTTTAGATATCTGTGAGTAGAAAGGTTCTTCTGCCATTTGGATTTACCTTCCTTGTGAAATGAAATGTCAGTTGTTTTCATGGATGACTGCTGTTCTAGGGGTTACTTTTTTTCACATAACCTGAGGAACTCGAAATCTTTCATTTGAGTTTCCTTGAGAATGAGTATGTGAGTGAAAGCATAAGATGCATCTTTGTAGAGTAAAGGAAAGAAAATGGGACGTTAATTACTCTCTGTGTTTAAAACAACAGTAAAAGGAATCTTCACCATTAAGGTATCTTGTATATGTTGATATACTGGAATATACAAAAATAACATTATGGAAATCTGAGTAGTTCTTGCGTTATGTGTATTTAACATTTAATGGCACTACACGTATTATTAAACTTCTCTTTTGACTTCGAAAACTGAATTTTTTTTGTCTATGCAGTGAAGATTTTTACCTTTTTAATATGTGAGTCTTATAGCAGCTGTAACTTGAGTCCACTGGAGGTTTTAGCCCCATTAGGAATTATGCTGTGACAAAATACTAAATTAATAACACGACCAAACAAACTAGATCATCCTTTTTAATAATGCTTATGTATTTCTAAAATTTAATTCCCTAATTTAGATGCTGGTATGGTATTTCCAGCGTTTCCAGTATCAGGCTGTGCTCCTTGTATAGCCAGATATGCCAATATATTGACATCGTGGTGTAGTTCCATCCTGTCAGAACTTTCATCGTTCTTATGCTTCATGCTGAGCTACAAAATTTTAGTTCAGTTTTCCATTGTTATCCACTTGTTTGCATATTTTAATATGCAAAGGACCAATAATATGATTTATTATGAAAATTTTGTCCCTAGTAAGTAGTGCCTATTGTCTTCACGTTTGCTGATTTCTTAAAGTTTCTGAATGTAGCAGTACCTGAATCCTTTGTATTAACCTAATTATTTCACTTTACTTGAATGAGTCAGTTTCCCCACAAGAAAATGTAATTACTACTTTTCAGAGATTTTACTAGTTTAATTCTAAAAAAGTTTTCAATAAATTCTTTATAGCACAGACAGTTCTAACAAATGAATAAATGTTGTAAATCCTTATGAATGAATATTGGTTGCCAATATAAAAACAATGAATTCATGCGTGCTATAACAATGATGAATCTTAAAGATGATATAGATGCTAAGAGAAAATAATTGGTAAAAAAAAGAGCACATGTATTATAAGAAAGGTGTCACATAGGCAGATCTATAGAGAAAGTAAGTAAAGTCATGGTTGGGAAAGGAAAGAGGATTAAATGATAATAAGTGAGGTCCTTTTTTGAGGGTGGGGCTGAAGAAAATGTTTTAAATTTAGGTTGCATTGTTGATGGTTTCACAGTTTTGAATGTGTTGAAAACATGCAATGATAAATTTTAAATGGGTGGAATGTGAATTATATTTTAATAAAAGTGTATTAAATGGAATATCAATACCTTGTTATTGTGCATGTAGGCACAGATGGTAATGTGAAAAGGCACCAATACTAAATACTTTGAACACGAATTATGTAAGTATTGGGACATTTTGCTTTATTCATTTTAAGCTTTGGTCCTCCTTTATTTAAGTACTATCTCCTCATTAACTACAAGGAAAGACTTTCATGGCATAATTATAGTAATAGATTCTTCTATTTGGAGGTGTATTCTTGTATAGTGTCTCTATTATATCACCAATTCTGGGACTGGATAAAAGAGAGGAACAGAAGGTAAATATGTGGGATTTACATTTGGGAAGATCAATTTGAAGGAAAATGCCGTGGAACTATATCTGCCACATAGCAAAAGCATAGAACAATGCTTGTATACCATGTCCTAGGCAAGAGCTCCCTTCACATCAGTGAAGAATAGGGAATAATAGTGTTCCCGTCCTGCTAAATAAGGAAGTCAGTAAGAGAGTGTGAGTAGAGAGATTTTGTGGTCTAGAGGTGGCATAAGAAACTATGTATTCATCTAACAAAGATTTAGGTATATCTGTTATTCTGAATACTTCCATAGTGCAACACATTTACATTTATGTTGAATTAAGTTCTTCCAGATAAATGCTTATAGTCAGTACTAATTAAAATATGGACAAGCATAGAAAAAAAGCTTTATGAAAAATTTCAGACTTTCAAATTCAAATTTCTCATTCCAGATGTTCACAATTTCCATTTTCTCTAATCATAGTGCTTTGCAATGTGTTGTTTTATGATATTCAAATGCAGTCATCACTTATCTACATAAAGGTATAATTTTATAATTATATGAATGCATATAGACAATGTAAAAGATAAATAGCAGAGATGAAAAATTCTAAAAACTGATTCTAGAACGGATAATTTTGCATTCAATATATTAACAAAAGTTTATCTTCTTCAATTTGAAGACAAAGTATGTTGAATCTGTAAAATATTAGATAAAACAGTTGGTACAATATATTTATTTTTCCTAAAACTGCTTTGTTTTTACAGTGAGAGGAATTTCCAGTGCAACATAGTATTTAGTATGACTCCATGAAAGAGCTAAGGTAACATAATTCCAACAGGAAATAAAAGGACATTTTTGAGGAAGAAGAAAAGCTTTATTTAAAACTGTGATTACTAAACAGTTTTAGAAAAATATATATAAAGAAAAGCATGAAATCTTGGAATTTCAATGACATTTACATATATTTAGGAACTGAAATTTTAGAGAATATTTACCTTCTGCTTCTTCGGAGATATTTTTAGTATCCATGCAGCTAAACTATATTTTACGAACAGAAATACATGCAAAAATACTGTTATCTAAGATTCATTTGGTGTTATGGGGGAATGAATTATCTAGAATATAAAATTGGAAAATTTTAATAATCTATCATCTTACCACTATTGTATCAAAAATTATTTTATGCATAAAAATAAAACACATGCTTTGTGTACAGTATTTGAATTAGTTTTTCAAATGTCTAAATAATTATTAATTCCATATTTTGATCCTATATATCTTTTGATCCTATATATCAAGGAAAATAGAAAAAAAAAGAAAATCTCCTCTTTTTTCTTATTTTTTCCAATCTGCTGCTGTTAGTTGGTATAGTATGCAACCAGAATGGAAGTAAGTAGTAGAAATGTTTATTCGTGAAATAAACACTTGCTAACATCTGTGGCAAAGAAGTCTTCTTGAGAGGCAATTTTATTCTGAGGTATTTAAATTTTAATTCCTCCTAGGATTATTCTGTTGAATGCTTGATGATACTTCCTCTCCAACCAACAACTCCAGCTGATGTTTAATATTTTCTGGGAAACTGATGTTATACTTAAAACTAGATTCTTGATTTTAAAGCCAAGAATGTAATAACCATGCTATTTACCTTCTTTCATATTGCCTTTAACAATCCTCCTTCAGATACCCATTCAGATAGTTCTTTCATTAGAGATCAGGTTTTGTACTTTGGGACTCATTGTTCAATTAAGAACATTGAAAATAATCTTCTGGCTGGATACCATTTGCAACATGAAGAGTTGCTATGTTAATTCATATGTTGATGTTGCTCTGTTTTGTCTGTTTTCAGGGATCAGTAAACTTTTTCTGAAAGGACCACAGACAGTAAATATTTAGGTTTCTCAGACCCATGGAAACTCTATCGAATACTTTATATATATAAATAAAATGCTCTGATAAGTTGAGGAAAAACGGCATGTCACAGCTTATACTGCACAAGTTAGTACTGCACTTGACTATATATAACAGAACCACTAGCTTCACTAAATAGATGTTTGTTTTTCTCATATAAAAAGTTACAAAAGTGGACAATTTAGAATTGAGAAGGCAGCTGCTGAATGACAAATGGCTCTTTCACCTTATCTCTGCTCACCTTAGCAAGTAGCCATCACGTTTGTTCTACCTGATCTAGTAGTTAATTCTATGTCCAACAGAGAGAAAGAAAAGAGAAAAGGAAAAACACAGGTGCCAGTTGATTGTCTTTGTCAGGCCAACAATGGGTTTTATAAAAAAAAAAAAAAAAAAAAAAAAACTAGTCCTAGTAGATTTCTGCTTAGATTTCTTTGGTTAGAACAGATAATATGAGATGTGGGGCAATGACTATTCTCAATGTTTCTTATCATTTTCCAAAAAATATTTAAGATTCTGCTGGTAGAGGAAAAGAGGGGAAAAATCACCGAGTAGGCCAAGCCACCAGGCAGGATGTACCAAAGTGCCCCTTGACTCTGCTGGCTCTTCATCCTCTGCATGGGAGGCAGAATGCACAGTGCAGGAAAAAGGCTTCTGAACTCCAGCAGCTTAGTACCAAAGCTCAGTTTCTCCAGGGATATCTTTAATCTTGGTCTGCACCTAACCTTCTGTCCCATCTGTGCAAAGGAAATAACAGTACCTGATTTGCAGAAAAATCCTTGTAACAGTGCTTGTTCTATAGAAAAATCTCCCCTCTATCTGAAACCCTGGTGTCTAGAGCTCTAGACAAGCATGTTATCTAGAGGATCTTTTGTAAGAGCATCCAACTGCCCCTCTGGGTGGTTCTCTCTTGTAATTACTCAGCATCTCACTGAAAATTTGTTTAATTCCTTAAGGGTATAACTAAGAAGAGATATATTACCTATATTAATTTGAATTTAATTGTAAAGTTTTTTAGTGCTAAGTAAGTATTTTATGCATATATTAGGACACATTTGTTCTAAGAATTATTTGGCTCTTTCTGGTAACGCTTTCAAAATATTATGCTTAGACTTAACAGTTTAAAGTTAAAAATGAATTAAAAAGTACATTAGAAGAAAATATTATTGATTCTGTAATCTTGAAATGTAGCCCTTATTATCTCCTTTGTAAAAATGGGGACATTCAGTTTATGTTCATCTGTACTCCTCTAAATTGGCCATTATTATTGAAAGCAGGGTTTGCATTTCTTTGAAATTACCTTCCAGTTTTGAAATATTGAGGTAAAGAAAAGTTCAGATTCTAAAATGACCCCTCAAGCCACCTAATTTTAAAATATAGTATCATTTGAAAAAGA